GATTCACTAATTATTAACAATTAACAATTCACTAAGTATCAGTTATCATAATTTACTTGCCTTGATATTTTCTAGTATCTCTATATCATCTGTTACTCTTCCAGTTGTCTAGCAATGTATCGTTTGTTTTCAAAGCCACACGGGGTTATGGAGATTCTTTAGAAAAAACTACCTTATTAAAATGGCAATATTCAAGTCAAAATAAATAATTAGATGAATAAATAAATCAATAAAACATCGAAGCAAGTTCAACTGTAGAGCAATACCTACCAACCGGCTTACCTTTAGCGTCAAAGGCAAATCATTCAAAATATGGTGGTGGAATCAGCTGGAGAGTTTACGGATGGTATCACGATGTGTTTCTATCTGTACTTCAAACAAAAAAGAAATCACATGCAATTGTGAGATAACCGAGTATGGTACAATGGCTTATAGAAACGTACCTTGCAGAGATTTTAATTGTGCGAGTTCGGCTGATTCCACTCTGGAGAAACGCTTCCGTAAACATCGTCCTTTCGTCCATTCTTCAACTGAAACAACACAACGGAAAACTAGGTTGTTAAACTCGTCTGTACCCGCGCTGACGAATATTACGCCGACGAAACCTGTAGAAAAATAACCGGAAGTTAAAGTTGACAAAGTCGTTCAAGTCGTCTCCGAAAGTAGACGATCATTTACTTCGGGTTCAGGCGTTCTCTTCGGATGCAACTTAACGTAAGTACTGCGTCCCCGAAAATGGACGAAAATTCAGTTCGGGTTCAGACATACCCTTCAACATAAGTATTGGGTCCCCGGCTCCAAAATGGATGTTCGCGAAAGGAAGTCAAGTCATTGAAATTGTGATGCGGTTGTGTACAAACCTGACACCAAAAAGTTATAGAATTGTACGATTTAGTTATTTATGGTACCCAACACTAATTGACATAAAATATAGCATAGCAGACTTTTTGTTGAATATATCTTTTTATTTTCAAATTAGAAGCATCATAAAATTACACGAAGGTCAATATTTGGAGACAAGTTCGGACAGTAAGCTATATGCGTCACTGTCAATTTATTCAGACAGACAAAACACACAAAATAAGGACAAAGCACGCATTGTTCTCCAAAATGATTTTTTATTATCAAATTTTGTGTTAAACCAGTCGTTTTCGCTTCTCAAATTCCTGAAAATAGAAAGCTATGGAATTAGTATTTAATTACATATAAAAATCAAACAACACAAAACTCACCTTGCAAAGCAGACTTTTTTTATATAATATATGATTTTTATTTATTTATTTATTTTTTATTTTTTCAAATTAGAAACGCAACGAATTATATACAGCTAGAGATTAAGAGCCATGTTCGGACAACCACTTACAAGTAGCTAGTAAACTATATACGTCGCAGTTAATTTATTGAGACCGAAGCAACACACACACTCAAAATAAGGACAAAGCATACCATTTTCTCCAAAAGGATGTTTATTCTTAAATTCTGTGTTACACCAGTTGTTTTCGCTCCCGAAATGGAGCGCTAAAAGAGTTTTAACCACAGATAAGATTTGAACGAAGACGTCCCCG